GATACAAGATTAAATCCTTATTCTATTTGTTTTATAAAGCTTCATAAGGCTATAATTTTCTCCTTTTTTTTTACCCTAGAAGTTCACTGAGGAGATTTAGAAGATTCAAAGACAAAAATATAGAAAACAAAAAAGATAGAGCACCTGTAAAAGGAGCACTAATTTCTTTGGTGAATTCTCTATTGATTATTATTTATTATGCAAAAGATAACAAACAAAAAGAGATTAACGATGGGTCGCTCTTCTCGATATATATATATATATATGTCAGGTCTCACTTGGATTTTCCGGATCATGGGTTAACCGAGTTTGACTGGTTTTTTGCACTAGCTAGTTTTTAACCTTGCCTGGACCTGTTCAACCATGGGGTCCACTCTTGGGTAGACCTGCCAGGTCGGTCTGAGTTTAATAACTATCTTAGTAGGTATCTTTTAAAAGTGATTTGTTGAAATGAGATGTTTTTTGATAAACCTAAATTTAAAGGGCAAAAAAACCTTTTAAAAAACTCAACCTCCCTTATGCTTAACCAAAAGAAAAAACCCAACTTTCCTTAGGCTCAACCAACAAAATAACCCACCCCTACTAGGCTTAAACAAGTGAAAGACCCATCTAATTTGGGCACAACTATATTTTAAATTATACTTTCCCTTCACCCATTAGGTGTATAAAAATCTTCTAAAGGTTTATTATATTTTCATCAACATTAATTTTGTGTAAGAGATGGTGTTTAAAAGTTCTTTTAGAGACCACCATATTTTCATTCACATTAATATACATGTCAGGGATATTTCTCATTAATACATATGTTAGGGCTATTTTTTTTCTTTTTAATACTATTAAGATAATATTATACATTAGTTCATTCTCTTTATAAAAAGATTCATGAGCTATAAGTAAATCATGGATCCTTTAAATAAAAGATTCAAAATCTTTATTTATTATTGCATATTTATTTTTAGAGTATCTTTCTGTATTATTATTCATTTTCTTTAAAAAATCTTTAACTTAATTATTTGAGAGTCCCTAAATTCATTAAAAAAACTTTTATAGGTATCATGCACCCGTCTTTAACCACATTAGCTAGAAAAAATGAATTATATTGTTAAAATCAAGTGGTTAATTGATTATTCAAGACATAAGCCTTGCCCCCAAATTACTTGGATTTTTTAGGATATCATCAATTTCAAAACTAAAGCTTGAAGTTTTGTAGGTGATTATGGAGAGTGTGAGATTAAGAGATTACGTAGAGAGAAAATGGAAAAAAGATTAAACTATATGAAGACAAGTTTAAAAAAAAGTTAAATCCGATTGTTGGGTTGAACTAAAACTTTACCCATAGTTTCCCATAATATTGTTCTATATTGGGGTAAAATCTCAAGTCAGTGAGAATTCGAGAAGGCATTACAATACAGGTCAGAATAAGATGTACAAATTTTATTATTTACTTTTTTTTTACTTATGAAATCTTTATTTGGTAATGATCATTTATCTGTAAAGATCTAACAGCTTATTTTGGGAGTTTCGTAACCATACAATAAAGGTTAAATGAATGCAACAAGGGTTTTTATATTTTAAATGGATTTTTTAAAGTTATAATTAATTTTCCTATATAAACAAGGAAACTAAGGGAGAGACAACTTCACCATTCAATTTCCTAGCTTAATTTGGATATCTAAAGGTAACAGCAAAAATCCTAGTATTTGTACAACGAGAATTTTGTTTATGATACTGTTTAAATTTTGTTCAGGTTATTTTGTTTAATAAGATGTACCAACTTTAGTTTATATGTTGTATTTGTTATTTTTTTATTTTTTTTATATTTGGACTTAGTTAACATGCATTGAGTTTTTTGTGACTGGATAAATATTAGCCCACAAGTTTTGGATGCATTATGGTTACTAGTTGAACTATTACATAAGATTTTATAAGCTGAAACTTTTAGGAACGATGGATATATGAAATTAGCTTGTGTTTTGCGTGATGCAACATGTTTTCTTTACTACGATAAAAAACAATTTTGATTTATCAAAGTATAATTGATATTGTGGCATTTTCCTTATACTTTTCATTGGCAAATTGATATTACTTAGATAAGGATTTCTTATTTCAATAATGTTAGTGTCTTGGAACACAGTTTCATTATGTCACACTCTTATCAGACCTAATTTATTGAGTTTTTGAGAGTTATATCATCTTTATTATGGGTTATTTTACAACATGATCAAGAAGTTCGCATAAGTTTATTTCAAGATTTACAATTCTATTTTGGTTGGTGTTATGTTTTTTCAATTGAAACAGCAAATTTTGGTTTCAAAGTGCTTCATTATGCCTTTTCGAGGATGTACTATCGATATAATATTAACACACACACATAATTAAAAATATTAATTCATCAAACATAATTTCAATTAAAATCCAAAGATAAATCAACTATAAATTATGCAAATCAAGTTTCAAACATAAGTAAAAAAATAAGAGTTCAACTGATATAACCCGATCGACTTGAAGAGTCTAAAGACAATTGGGATGACTAATAAAAATGTAGTTTGACTAAAAAAATTTAAGACGACAATATATTGGTTTAACTCGATTTAACCTTTGAAATTAATCTGGGTTATTAAATCATGATAACTCCAAATAAAATAAATTAAAATAAATTATGAAGCTTAATTTTCAATAAACTCATTGATGAATAATGAGATTGAGAAAGAATTAATCTAAAAAAAAGGACATAATAAAACAAATTAAGTATATTCAGGTTAACTTGTAAAACCTTTGACTTGGGTCATGTGATCAGGATAATTTTGTAGAGAAAAATGGCAAAGCTTAATTCATAATCAATAAAATATTAAATGATGAAAGTGGAAAAAATCAATTAAAAAATAGATAAAATTAAAAAATTAAAATTAAATCAACTGGTTAAACATATGATATTAATTATAAGACTGAGATAACTATATAAAAAAAAAATCATGAAAAGCTAAATCAAGTTTTTAAAAATAAAATTAGAGAAGAAACATGGATTAAAAAAAAAAAGTTATTTGACCAAAATAAAACCAAAACTTTTAAAGACAAATCAACTATAAATTATGCAAATCAAGTTTCAAACATAAGTAAAAAAATAAGAGTTCAACTGATATAACCCGATCGACTTGAAGAGTCTAAAGACAATTGGGATGACTAATAAAAATGTAGTTTGACTAAAAAAATTTAAGACGACAATATATTGGTTTAACTCGATTTAACCTTTGAAATTAATCTGGGTTATTAAATCACGATAGCTCCAAATAAAACAAATTAAAATAAATTATGAAGCTTAATTTTCAATAAACTCATTGATGAATGATGAGATTGAGAAAGAATCAATCTAAAAAAAAGGACATAATAAAACAAATTAAGTATACTCAGGTTAACATGTAAAACCTTTGACTTGGGTCATGTGATTAGGATAATTTTGTAGAGAAAAATGACAAAGCTTAACTCATAATCAATAAAATATTAAATGATGAAAGTGGAAAAAATCAATTAAAAAATAGATAAAATTAAAAAATTAAAATTAAATCAACTGGTTAAACATATGATATTAATTATAAGACTGAGATAACTGTAAAAAAAAAAAACATGAAAAATGATAAATCAAGTTTTTAAAAATAAAATTAGAGAAGAAACATGGATTAAAAAAAAACAAAAAAATGTTATTTGACCAAAATAAAACCAAAACTTTCCAGGAGAAATTTAGGTGGAATTTTCAGAATGGGTTGAGATTCCGAGTGAAATGAATTTTATTCTAGCTTATTTTATTTTTTAAAACTAAAATGAGATATCGATCATTCCAGTAAAACAAATAAAATTGACAACCTTTATTGAATGAGGAAATCTTATCTTTTAAACACACATGCAAGCACACACAGAATAGCTTGTAGCTTAGTATAAAGGTATGCTTTTTTTTTTAAAAAAAAAAATCTTAAATCCTTGCTTGTTAAATCAATGCTAAACGTACTACTGTAAAATTCAGTCGTTGTCTGACCATTTAGAAACAAGATTTCAAAATTTATATTCATCCATTTAAGATTCACATTCTTAAACTTCATCTGGATTAAGCCTTGGTTATACATTATTATTCATTTATTTTCTATATGGATTCAAAATGACCCATACCGTTCAAAATCCCTTTGAACAATCAAAATACTTATTTTGGCATACCCTTGAGTCGAATAATTTAAATCTATCGTAAATTTAAAGCTTGGCTATTTTCACGAGTTAAATGAATAATTTGAGCATATGATATCAGTAATTTAGAAATATTCTATTTAAATATGAGATTGTATTCTATTTTTTATATTTACATATTTATAAAAATAAATAAATAAAGTAGGGAGTCAAATGTTTTAACAAATAAATTAATATTACCTCATTTTGTTGAGATCACTAAAATATAAATTTGATTAATCAAAGAATTAAAATCCCTAGCAATTAAATGTGAATTTTTTATTTCATAAAAAAATGAACTTCTTCGGCAAATCAATTTTGAAAATTGTTTTTTTAACTTGGATTTAATTCATATCAAATACTAAATAATTTCATTATATAATTAGTTAGTTAACATAAAACAGAAATCTATCATAATTATTTATACATCTTATTTTTATAGAATCAACGGTATTGATCCTAGAATACATAATATTTAAAAAAACTGATTATTATTGTGGTAATTTTTAATTTTTAATTTTAAAAAGAATTAGAGTAATATTTTTGATGATTTTAATATGATAATGTAAAAAAAAATTTTTAATAATTTTTTTTTTTACATAATAATACCAAAGACAAATTGCTCTTCCCTATTTTTTTAATAAAATAAAATGTAAACCCTAAGAAATACAATTTGCTCCGTATCTCATTATGGCATCATACATTAAAATCCTATTTAAAAACCATAAACTAATATTTTCTTCCATCGCATAAGTGGCCCCCACTCCTCGTCCGTGTAGAGTTTAATCATCGTTTGTCCACCTCCTCCTCCTCCTCCTCTATTCTAAACGTTGAACTTAAAAATCCCTCTCTCCCCACTGTCTCCCATCATCACCAAATCCAGCTAGTGATCCTCTTCCTTCACTGCCCTCTTCTCTAAGTACGTGATCTCTCTCCCTGCTTCTTTCTTTCTTTCTTTCTTTCTTCTTTGACTACAATTTTATGGCACTATAAATCCACCATTTCAAGATGCTGTCGCCCTTTCTTTACTAACAATGTCTTCTTTCAACGTAACTTGCAGGTAAGAAGGTTGGCTGGAGAATGGCATATATGTGTGCGGATAGTGGAAATCTAATGGCAATAGCCCAACAAGTTATTAAGCAAAAACAACAACAAGAACAACAGCAGCAACAAAGCCACCACCACCATCATAACCAACAACAACAATTTCTTGGCCTAAACCCATTTTCTTTAAATCCTTGGCCGACTAATATAATGTCTGCTAACCCAAACTTGGGTTATGGGCTCTCGGGTCAGGCTGCTTTCTCTGACCCTTTTCAGAGTGGACAAGAAACAGGCGACCCACCTGTGTTTAGTTTCTCGAACATTGAGCAGCACCACTCAAGCGGGTTTCGGCTTCCTTATTTTACTGGAGCTGGTGGTGAGTTCGACTCGGATGAGTGGATGGACAGTTTAATGAACGGTGGAGACTCAACGGATAGTTCTAATCTTCCTTCTGGTTGTGACGCGTGGCAAAACAGTACTGATTTCGGGATGTACACTTCTGATCCGTTTCATACTTGCCCCAGTCGACTTACTGTTGGCTGCTCTCCACCGTCTGATCTTAATGGGGTTATCTCTAATTCGCTCTGGGTCGCCGCATCTCCTCCTCAAGAAATCAAGCCCACAACGTCACCCCCGCCACTGCCTCCGCCAACAGTGAAAAATGAAAAAAAATGAAACCGTTGGAGGGTCAGAGGAAATTGTACAGTTATCTTCCTCGCCGGTTTTGAAAGCGCTGAAATCGTTGGAGGGTCAGAGGAAATTGTACTGTTATCTTCCTCGCCGGTTTTGAAAGCGCTTGTTGAGTGCGCTCAGCTTGTCGAGTCCAAAGCTGATCAAGCCGTGAAATCGTTGGTTAAGTTCAAGGACTTGGTGAGTGAAAACGGTAATCCAGTTGAGCGAGCTGGTTTCTACTTCGCGGAAGGATTACGCAGAAGAGTTGCTGTAGGAGAGCTTGATGTCTTTAAAAATTTTGATCAGACAACTGAAGAGTTCACTCTGTCCTATAAAGCTTTGAATGATGCCTGTCCATATTCAAAGTTTGCTCATTTAACAGCAAACCAAGCAATTCTTGAGGCAACTGAGAAAGCAAGCAAGATTCACATAGTTGATTTTGGTATTGTTCATGGAGTTCAATGGGCTGCTCTTTTACAAGCTTTAGCTACACGTTCAGCTGGAAAACCTGTTAGAATCCGAATCTCAGGTATACCTGCTCCAGTTCTTGGTAAGAACCCAGCTGCTTCTCTCTTAGCTACTGGTAATAGGCTACTTGATTTTGCAAAGCTTCTTGATTTGAATTTTGAGTTTGAGCCTATTCTGACTCCAATTCAGGAGTTAAATGAATCCTGTTTTCGGGTCGAGCCGGATGAGGTTTTGGCTGTTAATTTCATGCTTCAATTGTATAATTTATTGGATGAGTCTCCAGTTGCTGTAGAAACTGCTTTAAAGATGGCTAAATCGTTGAACCCGAAAATTGTCACTCTTGGTGAATATGAAGTTAGTTTGAACCGGGTTGGGTACTTGACTCGGTTTAAGAATGCTTTGAGATACTACACTGCTGTTTTTGAGTCTCTTGAGCCTAACTTGAGTAGAGACTCACCAGAGAGGCTTCAAGTGGAGAGGTTGTTATTGGGTCAGAGAATTTCTAGTGTTGTGGGGCCAGAGGAGCCTGGAATGAGAAGGGAAAGGATGGAGGATAAAGTTCAATGGGGAGTTTTAATGGAAAGTTCAGGTTTTGAATCGGTTTCGCTTAGCCATTATGCAATGAGTCAGGCTAAAATACTTTTATGGAATTACAATTACAGTACTTTGTATTCTCTTGATGATTCTCAACCTGGGTTCTTAACTTTAGCCTGGAATGAGGTGCCACTACTCACAGTTTCGTCATGGCGATAATCGATGGGGCTGGACTTGAATTTGGTACAAGTTTCCACCTGGTAATTTTTCTCTGGTGTGGAATAGTGTTCTAGTTTGTAATATACGCCATCGAATGGGATTGTTGGGGGGTGCTTCTTGATCAGATCACGAACTGGAAGGGTAATCAGTTTTTTTTTTAATTGCAATTGTGCATTGACAGGTCCATTGAAGCCTGTAACTAGTTGTAGTCTTTCAGTTTGGTCATTTAGATATATGGTTTCCTTTTGTATTCTGTTGGGTTTTTGTTATAGGTTTGAAGTTCTTGAGTCTCACAAATTGTAAAAAACAAGTGAAAGGAAAAGTTTCTTTCTCTTAGGTGTTTGTAACTCTTTTATATAAATTTCAATCTAATGAGTTTTAGTTTTATTTCTTGTGTTCTTAGTACCTAGTAATAGTAGATTGCAATGAAGAAAATAGATCCAGGGTAAAGTTGATGACCTTAAAACTTGATGAGGCCTCTTGTGGTGCTCGGCTTCAGGACCCATGGCCTGTGTGGGTCTTTAAGTTTGTAAAGGGATTAGTTTTTCTTCCTTTTTTTCAGCTGTGACTTGCAGGCAGCAAGAATGATAAACAAGAACTGAAGGCAGTAAATGGGGTCATAATCTTTAAGTTTTTCTTCCTTTCTTTTTGGCTGTGACTTGCAGGCAGCAAGAATGATAAACAAGAACTGAAGGTAGTAAATGGGGTCCTGATCTCCTAGGTTCTGCAGTTGGTGTTTGATGCAGACCCACAAGTCATTGAAATCTGTGCGTTTGAAATTGGCAATTTGATGAGGACATGCGATGAGTGTTTACAAATGTAAATGGTAGTTGATTTAGACCTACATAGCTGTGTTTGTTGCGTAAATGATCTTAGCAAAATGATCTTAGTAGATCTTAGCAAACCTACACATTTACTTTTTATATTCTAGGCTTTCCAGTTTACTCTGCTCAGCTGCTATCAATTTCCTTAAAAATCTATGAATGAAAAGGACTTGAATTTGTACATGGGGCCTCATTTCCTTCCCTGACAATTGCATAATCTCAGTCTACAAGGCTTTTTATCTCTTGATCATGGCTTTAATGCCTGCCCTTGTCATCCAGCAATCAGACTCTCTCTCATCTCTGTGACGTAAATTGAGAAGAAACAAAGGTGGAGGAGCCAAACCTCTTTCCAGCTCTCTGAAAATTAATGGGCCAGGACGCGACAATTTTGGCAATAGATTGCATGACGTTGTTGTTCCTGGTTCAAGTGATTGTGACCATTCATAGTCTTCTTTAGCAAGTTAAAGAGTCCCAGAAAAATTTCATATGCCAAGGGTCCCTCCCCTCTATCAATTGTTTGTTAACAAGAATAGAAAACTCTTTGTAGTGCTTGTCATGCTTTCTTCCAAGTTCTAATTCTCTTCTTGCAGGCTCGCACCACAATTCATCGTTGCTAATCACTACCGTTCTTCATCGCCTCAAAAACAGATGAAAAAAACTCTCACAAGCTCACTCACTACTCACCAGATAAGCCCTGTACTGTGACATATCAAGCTGATCTGATCTCTCTTGCATTTGAGCCCTGCAATGTGAATTGTACGAATAAAGATGAGGGTTTACACGTTTTCTGCACATTACCAAGAAGTCGTGTACTTTGATTCTGCAATTTAATTTGACCACGTCAAAACAATGCACTATAGTTGAATTGTACAGTATTATATGGAGCAGTGGACCAGCAGATTTCGTGCGCTAAAGACTTCAAATTCTACAGTTGTAAGTATCTGGGATGGTGGAGATGGGGGACCATCTTGATAGGAACTTGATGCATCGAGAGCTAAAATTATGTACATCCAATTGCACCAGATATTTGTTGTTATGATTCTAGCTTTTGTGAATTTTGTACTCATGTGAGATTTCAAAATTCCCAGGATTTTACTATTGTGATTTTAGCACTTGTTGATCTTTTAATTTGCAAATTATTGTCTAAGATTAGAGAAAAAATGTTGAAAAGCTTTCTGCATAATTGTTGTGCCAAGTTCTTTTCCTATCAAGTAATTAAAATGAAAAATAAAAAAAATAAAAAAAACCTCCAAGGTCTGCATGATTGGGAGCAAAAGCTCTCATTAGGGCCCTTAACACTACTTGTAGTTGTACTTGAGTGAACAGCGTATGGTCACCAGGGAACTTCAGACTTAATACTGTCATGATGAAGCTGAAGGCAACAAATATGAAGATCTCTGTAGCAGTGAAAGAAAATATTTTTTTTTTGAGAATAAATTAATTTTTTTATTTTTTAAAATTTATTTTTAATACCCCAACATAACAACAATTTTAAAATATAAAATTAAAAAATTAAAATTTATCTGGTTGCACAGCTGCGGGTGCCTAAATCCAGTGCGACAAGGTTCGGTTTTGTCTTCCACCGTGCAACTTGGTAAACCTTGGTGAACTGGCCTGCCTTGTTTTCTCCGTATTTACATGCCAGTAAGTTATTGGAGTTCTCACACCTGCATCAACTCAGAACCCCAGCAGAACATTAGTTTAAAAAAAGGTAACAGATCTATACTCGAATTTAAAACCCAGTTAGCCTTGTCAGATTTTACGTGCTTAAAGTGTTTAATATTATTGTAATTGTTCTTTTTTTTAATATTTCTTAGTTGTAAATACATAAAAAAAAATATTTAATGTCGGATTATCAAAATAATAAAAAATAATTTAAAATTAATTTTTTTAAAAAATACAATCGTGCCACAAAAACAAATAACCCCTAGAAATAAATAATTATCATGCAAAATTTAAGAATTAAAATATTGGGGTGCCAACTCACAAAACTTGTGTAGGACAGCCAATGGGCATGACTGATTTTTCTTGTAATCTGTTCTTATAATTTATTTCTTATGAAATAAAATATTTCATAAATAAGTATTATTGTGTTAAATTACAACCATATATTCGATTATAACAATTTTATGTTCACCATTCGATGAAGATAAATTAATCGATTAAACTAAGATCAAAGATGGACCGTCAAATCCTGAAAACAAATATGGTTCTGGATCCTAATATAATAAAGAAACGATAGAATTCTAGCCAAAGTGGCAATTTAAAAATTCAAGCCCTGCAATGTACAGAGAGAGAACAGAAGAAAGGAAGGGGGGGAACTGACCTGGAAAAATATATAGGATCCGCATTTAAAGTCAAGTCATGACCTGATGGGTGATTGTCTCGGAGCTGTTACTTTACAAATACAAGTTCTTAGCTACGGCTCTGAGTGTGAATGTGCTAGCTGACGTTGTGTGGCAGCTGCAACGGTCCGGTGGTCCCACCGACTGGAGACATGAACCAAAAAAAAGTGACCTTTTACATTTTCTGTTTTTTTCTTAACAGAGGAGTCCCAGTTTATTTGTTTTTATATTTTAAAAAAATTATTTTTTTTATTTTTATTTTAAATTAATATATTTTTACTGTTTTTTAAACTATTTTAAGAAGATAATTTCAAAAATATTTTTTTTAAAATAAAAAATTATTATTTTAATATATTTTAAAATAAAAAATATTTTAAAAAACAATCATATTAACAATTATACAATTTCAAACCAAGCATAACGACTAGGACTGACCAACAACCAATACCATCGCTCTGTCCTAACAGGACACAAGCTGCGGATCTCTGGCTTAATTCTCTTTTTAAAATCTCACACTGATCGAAGCACATGAGCTGCTATATGGGCCAGGCCCATCTAGTCCATTTACGTGCTTGAGCCGATCTTGCACCAATCGCAAACGAACGTGAGCCCAGTTGGCCTTGAGTGTGACCCATTAGCCTTGCGCATGCCCTTACGAGGGTTTACGAGTTAGATTGCCAGTCGCGGGTATTCATAAAGAATATTAATGAATAATATTAAAAACAAAAACAAAAGCAAACAATAGATTTTTTTAGTTCTAGAACAAGATTTATTATTTTCACTGGATTATGTATGATATAAGGTTTGACATAATTAAAGATAAAATACATAGAATAATAATGCATACTTTTGGAGTACACCAATAGACCCAATAATAAAAATATAATACTAACCTTACATGTACATGGGTTAAAGTTCTCATATGCATGTTTGTCATTTTTACGGTGCCTTATGTGTCTATTGGATTTGCAGGGTGTTTAGTGGGCCTAGTTATGGTACGCGCAAGCTGGCCCGGACACCCACATAAATCAAAATATATATATATATATATATATATATATAACATTAACACAAAAATCCCGTGATTTAATAAATAAAAATAAATAAACACTTGTAATTTTTTTAATATAAAAAAATAATATAGCTATTTTAGCATTAACATATTGCCATAAGCCTCGCAAATATGTCAAGCCCACCTTAATTAGATGAAGCAAGTATGTTAGTTTCGTATTACTTTTTAATTTAATTTTAATTTTTTTCCCAGAGTTTATATAGTTTTTTATTTTACTATTTACCCCAAAGTTTATATAGTTTTTTATTTTACTATTTAAATTAATTTTATGATTTTTTAATAGCAATAATGTATTTTTTCAAAATTATTAATAATAATGAAAATAATAATAATAATAATAATGAATATAATATCAACAACAACAACAATAATAATAAATATAATAATATTATTAATATTATTAAATATGTCTAATTCGAGTTTAAGTAGGTTTAACAGGCATACTTAACCCATGTTAGTTGAATCTAACAAGCATACCAAACCCATCTTAATCGGATAAAACAAGCTTTACAGACCCATACTTCTCGAGTCTAATAAGTATGTCAGATATATTCTGGTTGGGTTAGGCAAGTATGTTAAACCCACGGTATTTTTCAATTTAGTTATTCTACTTTTGATTTTTTATTTTCTTTCATTGATTCTTTTTCAAAGTTATAGTTTTAAATTTTACCTTTTAAATCAAATTTATAGTTTTTTTTCAATACCAATATTTGTTTTTTCAATTTTAACAACAACAACAACAATAATAATTTTTAATTTTATCATTCAAGTTTAATTTATGATTTTTTTATAGTAATAATATTTTTTAATTTTTTTTAATAATAATAAATATAATAATGTTTATAATATTAATAATAATATTGAACATGTCTTACCCAGGTTTAGATGGGCCTGACAAGCTAAACTCATTTTCTCTCTCTCTTTCTCTTTTTTCCTTCTCTATCCCCATAAAAAATGGCGCTGACCATTCAGAATTTCAGAATTGTATTTGAACTATTTTAATAAAAAAAAAGGGCAAAAGAAGCTCTTAACCCCAGGATTTAAATTTTGTGTCTCACGGGGCAAATCAATATCTATGTTGCAACTCAAAAAATTTGAACAATCATTATATTCTCAATCATTCTTTTCAATGCCGTTTAATTTATGATTTTTTTATAGTAATAATATTTTTTAATTTTTTTTAATAATAATAAATATAATAATGTTTATAATATTAATAATAATATTGAACATGTCTTACCCAGGTTTAGATGGGTCTGACAAGTATGCTAAACTCATTTTCTCTCTCTCTCTCTCTCTCTCTCTTTTCCTTCTTTACTCCCATAAAAAATGGCGCTGACCATTCAGAATTTCAGAATTGTATTTGAACTATTTTAATAAAAAAAAAGGGCAAAAGAAGCTCTTAACCCCAGGATTTAAATTTTGTGTCTCACGGGGCAAATCAATATCTATGTTGCAACTCAAAAAATTTGAACAAATCATTATATTCTCAATCATTCTTTTCAATGCCAAATATATCCCATGAAAAAGATAATCTCACTCGAATGCTTAACAAGTTTTTTTTTGCAAGAACAATTATATCATTACATTGCTATTTGTGTTTTGGTGAATAGTAAAATATTAATCTTTTTTTGTATATTGTATAATAATACATACGGTTTCCCCTCTCTGTTTTTTTTCTTTAGACCTCTCTAAAAAATCACGCTAATCATTTAGAATTTTAAAATTTTACTTGAATTGTTTTAATAAAACAAAAGGCAAAAGAAGCCTTCAACTTAAAGATTAAAATTTTATCTTTTAAAGGCAAGTCAATATCTATATTATATCCTAAAAAACTAGAATGAGTCGTTGTCCCCAATCATTCTTTCAATGCCTAAATAAATATATCATATAGAAAAAACAATCATACCCCTCAAGTGCATGCTTAACAAGTTTCTTTGATAAGAACATAATTATATCATTATATTGTTACTATCCATGGTAATATGTGTTTTGATGAACAATAAAAAAATAAGTAGTAAAATATTGATATTCTTTAGCATATTGTATAATAAAAAATATGGTTTTCCCTTCTTTTTTTTTTTTAGACTTGTATTAGTTGGGTCTAGTAAGTATAATAAATTTATTTTTTTCTCTTTATTTTTTTTTTAACATTTCTTGAAAATAATGTTAATCATTCAAAATTTTAAAATTATATTTGAATTATTTTAATAAAAAATAATAAAGGAAGTTCTTAATCTAAAAATTAAAAGTTAAATTAATATTTATACTGTAGCCTAGAAAAACATTAACATACCATTTTATCTCCCGTTATTCTTTTAAATGCTAAATATCTCTCATCAAAAGAAAATTCTACCCGAAATACATGCTTTGAATATTGCATAATAATAATGACTACTTTATTATGCTCTGCAGCCTGAATGAAAAGTGACGACTGTTGAAGGCTGTTTCCTTGCCACGTTTTTTGGTTTAAATGCTACGTGCCATGACGTAGGTTGGGATCTCTGCAAGAGCAAGGGTCGGTTTTATCTATCGAATCGGTTCAGATTTGCTGGATAAGAATGTCATGTCCTTACTGGCAAATGACACTTCTCACCTTTTCTCGATAACTATACAGAGATCAATCTCCCTGGAAATGCGAAGATGGGCCTTATAGTAAAGATAACCACGCTCTTAAAATCATTGAGAACTTCTCCACCTTGTGTTTTCTCATCTCCTACAAAACAAGTTGGTAGAAAAACTCCAGGGGTCAGTTTCAGGCAGGTCACAACCATGCCTGGCAAGCCGGAGAGTGAGCAAAAGAATAAGTCCAATGATGATAACCCAAATTATAAAAATGGGTTAGTGTTAATCCTCGGCTGGTATTTTGGTTAGATTGCTGTTAGCCATCGTTTTTTGCTAGCTTGTGGTATATATGTAACTTTGTGGCATTCCTGTTGTTAAAATGTTAGCTAGCTAGTCGGGTACATAACTTTAGTGCAATTGTTTTTGGTGGGCCTGTAAATTAGGGACCCGATGTCCCGTTCATTTGGAGAAGGGTATGCACGAGGTCTGATGAGGAAGGATTTGGTGGGATTTATGGCGGAAATAAATCCATCACAGAGGTTGAAACTGACGTGAGGGAGTCACCTGGGTACATAGTCTCTTTTAATTTGTTGCTTCTCTCAAGAGACTTGGCTGCAAATTCTCTTTCTTATGTATGGACTTTAGTTCTCTAATAAGCTTTGCTTAAATTAGCTTTGACTTGCTAATTACGTGGGTATGCATGAAGATTACGACGAGACTCAAGTGAAGTGGAGGAGAAGGAGAAAGCACGATTCCAAACCAAAGCAGAGTCTTAAATGGTCAGGGAAACTTGTTTATCCATGCCGAAGAGCTGGATTCCTTTTTTTTTTTTTTTTTCCAAGTATTAGCTGTTAATTTTATTTTATTTTCATTTTCATTTCTGTTGATAATCCAACTGACTGGTGGTTACTACTATGCCCTTGTTTTTAAGAGAATTTGGAAGTATAATAATAGTTACGGATTAAATTGTTTTTTTAATACATATAAAAATAATTTTTATATTTTTAATAGTCATGATGATTGAGATTTTCTTTTCTTGGAAATTATCTGCGTTTTTTGATATACCCTAATATTAATTCGATCTCAATATGAATTTATTATATTAACATGAATTCATCCACGGTTTATAGTGGGACTTTCCAAGGGATTTTTCTTTGTTTTTTTTTTTTCAAGTATGATAATTTTTTTATGGTTTTAATGATTAAAAAAATTCAGAGCAGTACGAAACACATAATATTGCAACGCATAAAAAATTTATGTAAGGTTTTTATGTTAGTTACAGTCCTTGTAAGAAAATAACTAAAAGTCTAATTTACTGAATTTCAACAGGAATCAGGAGTAAAAATATGAATTGGAATACGTTTGTTTTAATGTAATAATTATTATAAAAAAGGGAAAATAAAATATTTTATAGACCCAACGATTGGATGTTATTTTTATTCCTATAATGATCATCAAGAATATATATTAAAAATTAAGGATATGACTCGATGGTTTAGTAATTTAATTAATTATAATGTAATTTTATTGTTTCTATTTTTTTATGGGATTTCTTGTTGTATTCGATGCTTAGAATAGATTATCAATAAGATATTAGATTTAAGAATTTTATTTTATATCAATTGTAATCTTATTTGTTGCATATCAAAACTGATCTATTTTTTTAAGAATTATATTAATATTTTAATTTCATTTCCAATTAGAGATAGATTTGAATTCATATCATTGACATATGAAAAATAATAATATTTTTTATATATAGTATTCTTTTAAATGCCTACGTATAATTTAAATATAATGATATCTATTTAATTTTTAAGAATATTAGGTATGGATTTTTTAAAATAAGATATAGGATTTGTTTTGTTTTGATATATAGATGGGCTTATCCAGTCCAAACACAAAAACGATTCACTCATAAGCCCAATTGGCCGTAAGGAGCAGACCTGTGCCGTGGAACGACAGTGGACTAAGGATTCGTCAAGCCTTCTCATAAAAATCTCAGTTTTTTTATTTGAATTAATTTAACACCTAGTGCTATAGAATATTGTCTAGGTGGACAAGTGATCCTGTAAGCTATAATTTCATCTAGATTGAGTGTATTTCAAACTATTTTTTTATTAAATATATTGTCTTAAAAAAAAACTACTAGGTTTTCAACTTTTTTTAATGTGAATTATATTAATTAAAAATTGATTATCTTTCAAATTCCTTGATAAATACTTTGAATTAACTCATTCAATGCCTTATTATTTTTTTAAGCTTTTAAACTATAATAGAACTAATTAGCACCTTTAAAGAATTTTATGATATTGTTTGATAATGTATTTATTCATTGTTTTCAGGACAAGCTGTTTACACCATGGTTCTTACAATCTAGAAAAATTAATTAATCTTTTCGGTCCTATCAATTATATAATCTTTAAAACACACATAATTTAATTTTATCTATACATTTTATGTTTTTTTATAATTTTTTATTTAAATTTTTAAAAATCCATGAGATGGGAAATATCAAACCATTGAAAATACATTTTTCAACCTTCATAGTTATTTTTTTTATCACAAATATTAATTTGGCTGTATTTAATCTAAAAATCACACGCGTGACGTGGAAGAAAAATAAAGGTCACAAAGCACACGCGTATTTGAACCAATCCTTTCACTGCCGTCCATGTCTATCCTACTAACTAGCGTGATTACTACGAATATCATATCTTGCCAGCTCATATGTGCCGTCCATTTCTACACCATTTAAACTGAATCTCAGCCCTCCATTATTCAACTAAGCGACCAATCCTGTCCGTCCATTCTCTCAAACCCTCTATATAACAATCACATACCCACCTCCCATTTCTACCTGATCTTATCAGCAAAGCTTTAGTTTCTCCTATAGATCTACTCTTCATGGATCATCCTCCGATCTTTTCAATTGCAGCTTCATCTAGATCGCCTTGCGATCTTTATCTTGATATCCGTTTCGATGCTTGAACTCCATGATCTTGATTTGCTCCGGGATAGCTCCTGAGGTATGTATAAGTGTTTTGTTTACGTTCCTGAACTAAATCTGATTTGAATATCTGTCTATTGGTCATTGATCAGGTCATTAATCCGCGTAAATCTAATTTTGTTCTGTAGATGTGGAGCGGCTCTGTTTCGATAGCTCGAATATTTACGGGATCTGTCCCTTCCGGCCATGCTTTCTTCGAATATGAGGAATTATAGCAATATATAAGTTTGATTGTTGGCGGAAAGCAGAAGATGATTTGAGATTTTTTCTGCAGGTGGTGTTGTAAGCAGTTACAGAATCCGCTGAAAGTGTTGCTGGATGTAGACACGGCTGAAGATTTGTTGTGTGAGCTGTGGTGTAGCATGTTATGTGTAATTTGTTGGCGGAGAAGGACAGGAAGGAGATGATGCTGGTGTTGGTGTTCGATTTATTTATGAGGATGATGTATAAGATATATATCGGGACCAGAAGGCCAAGAGGCCAAGGTCTTGTTTATTATCTTTGTCATCCGACCTTTGCCATGACAGGTGCGCTTGCATGGCAGGTCAACCACTATCTTAATAAAATAATCATTTTCGTGTTTGGAGGGGAGATCGCACGGGGATTTCCCGGGTTCTCTCCTCTAGTCTCTGTGTCCCGCTTTCTCTTCTCTTTGCCTTACAATCCATGGCTAACCTTGATAGCGCGGCCCGACTCCAGCTAGCAATCAATTCATCCATGGCAGGATATTGCAATTTGTGACGGTGACCCGAAGGTATTCTCCTACTCAAATCCTGTATCCTCAATTCGAATTTCCTGCACTTAGAATCATGTAGTCACATACCCTTCACGTAGAAGCAGTCGTTAGCAAGAGATCATGAATTTGTAATCTGGTTTCTCATTGTTCATCAAAATTTGCTCCCATTAATTATTCATCTTGATAATTTGGGGTAGGAAGAGAATTCTCTTTTAAAACTTATTCAGCACTTGAAACTGGCTGTCACACATCACAGCACATAATTCACAGTATATAAAGTTAATAAGAGACTGGAAGTTATGATATCACGGCTTACCTTTTATTCAATATTGAACAGTATGTTTACCTTGCACTGGAGCTTTTATTCCATTGCACAACAGCCCGTTATTGATTAACATTCGTTCCATGTTATTTCATTATCCAACGCATCTCATGTTATTATTTTACAGAGCAAACATGATCTCAAGTTTTGTTTATTTAGATATAGCTTGTCAATCCATTACTGCGATCTTGTGCAGAATTTTTCTGTTTCGATAGATTTACTGCTGTTGCTAGCGTTTTACAATTACATATTTTGTAGCAATTATGTTAATTAAGCTTATTGTGCTCTATGATATCCTTGTAAGACCTTGGGGCTGGATTTAAGTGGCTCTTACATAGTCTTGTGATTTGCAATGGGATCTTCTTGTTTGGTTCTCTGGGTGTGAGTGATTTGGCCTAAGTATGTTAGCGTTGAAGATGGATTTGTAATCCTCAGTGGGCGATCCACGTTTGTAAAGACCGTTTATTAAGACCCCGTGCTGCTGAGCTTCAATGATCATGACGATGGCTTCAAAGGATGACAGGAAGCTCAGGAGGTCCTCACACGATTCTCAATTGAGCCACACAATTTTGAGGTGATAAGTTCTTCAATGGTTTACTATTCCACCTGAAAGAAAAATAAAACACTCAATTAAATTGTTATGAAGTGTCATTCAGTTTAAAACCCGCGCTGCTATGGTTTCTTACTTGTTTTAGCTGGAGATGTAGTAATCTACTGAAGTCTCTTCTATTTTACGTGCTGTTCTATTATAATGCTCATAATTATCCTCCTTCGTTATTTTGAAGAAAAGTGGTCCTTTCTCTGTGTGCTTGGTAATTAATTAGTGTTCTTCTATATAATATTCTTGATATTAGCATCAATTAATGCCTTTTTAGGCGAAGCAATTTGATTTAAATACCAACTTGTACACGTATTGTTCTTCCAGAAGTTTCACATGATAGGTCTCATGAATTGCCACGTATTGGAAGGTTAAGGTAATGCCTGTCCGTTGACCAGATGTGGTGGTGATTGATTCTCATCCCTGACCGGAGTTCTTTCAAAGCAAGCTTTCGGGTGTTTTTTTTTTTAAAGGCAACTAGAACAACCGTATTAGTAATTGTTGTCCTCGGATTATGAAATAGTAAGTATTGAACTGATTTTTAAGTTTTAATGTCTGAAACAAAAAAAATATCATAATGTATTGTTAATTAAAAAATTGCTTACATCACAATATTAAATATATGTTTTAAGTGTAGTGTTGTTGTGTTTTTGTTTTTCAAATTGTTTGAACAAATATTAAAGTGATTTTTTTGTGTTGTTTTATGGAGTTTTTTGTGTTTATATTAAAAATACAATAAAAATTCTAAAAAGCTAGTTCATATTCAATTGAAAGGCGATACATGTGGCGTTATGTTACGAGACACTTGATTTAATTCTTTATCTAAAAAATGTATTGTAACAATAAACTTATGTTTCGGTCCTAATTTTGTGTTATTGTTCAAAATACAAAAAAGAAGATAGAGGGTCTGTAGGGTGTGTTTAATTGGGTTTTCTTGACATTATTTTAGCTATATACTATCTCAAGAAGCTATTTTTCGACTCTGAAAATTATGAAAGAAGTGAAATAGTTTTGTTTCCATCTTCTCTCTAGATTGTTCTTTCCATCTTTTCTAGATTATTTTTTCATTTTTCAAAGTAAAAAAAGAAAACATGACTAATATAATTTGTCTGCATGTTCTTTTTAACAATATTAAATGAATATATTTTAGAGCTATAAAATTAATTTTTATAATATATGTAATTATAATTAAAAAAGATTTAAGAATTTTTATATTTGAAATATGGTTTTATATATATTTTATAACCAATTTTATCTTGAATGTAATTTTTTTAATTGATAGAATAAATTTTCCCCTAAACATGTTCTTTTATTAGTCGTTGAAAGGAATCAAGATAAAAAAAAGATTTTTCATTTAAATCATAACGGTAATGTCAAAATGGTTTCCGGTCAGAAATGATTGACACGTGTAGCTGTGTCCAGCGTGAATCTGGGGGGTGAGCTCTTTAAAAAATTGCTTACATCACAATATTAAATATATGTTTTAAGTGTAGTGTTGTTGTGTTTTTGTTTTTCAAATTGTTTGAACAAATATTAAAGTGATTTTTTTGTGTTGTTTTATGGAGTTTTTTGTGTTTATATTAAAAATACAATAAAAATTCTAAAAAGCTAGTTCATATTCAATTGAAAGGCGATACATGTGGCGTTATGTTACGAGACACTTGATTTAATTCTTTATCTAAAAAATGTATTGTAACAATAAACTTATGTTTCGGTCCTAATTTTGTGTTATTGTTCAAAATACAAAAAAGAAGATAGAGGGTCTGTAGGGTGTGTTTAATTGGGTTTTCTTGACATTATTTTAGCTATATACTATCTCAAGAAGCTATTTTTCGACTCTGAAAATTATGAAAGAAGTGAAATAGTTTTCTTTCCATCTTTTCTAGATTATTTTTTCGTTTTTCAAAGTAAAAAAGAAAACATGACTAATATAATTTGTCTGCATGTTCTTTTTAACAATATTAAATGAATATATTTTAGAGCTATAAAATTAATTTTATAATATATGTAATTATAATTAAAAAAGATTTAAGAATTTTTATATTTGAAATATGGTTTTATATATATTTTATAACCAATTTTATCTTGAATGTAATTTTTTTAATTGATAGAATAAATTTTCCCCTAAACATGTTCTTTTATTAGTCGTTGAAAGGAATCAAGATAAAAAAAAGATTTTTCATCCAGCGTGAATCTGGGGGGTGAGCTCTTTATTAATGATTTGTTCAGTTAAATGACGTGTGGTCGGAATGTGTTTTTGCCCGGGAAGAAAGGTCAAAGGTCAGTAAAAAATTCATTTTGTGGTAGTTTCGGTAATGAAGTAGTGGAGGCTTTGGAGGTAAGAAAAAAAAAGGGATTGTACTCTTGTTTTGATGCCCGTTCTTCGATGATGATAAGATCCGTAAGCTCAAAACGGTAGAGCGCTCAAAATCCCGTAATGGGGTTCTGAGAGGCTGGTGGTTCAAATCCACTCGGATCTCTTATTATTTTACTTTCAAATCTTTACATTTATTAGTAAAAATAAAATAAATTATTAGCAATTATTCGGCGGTTTTCTAGCTCTTGTTAAAAAATAATATCAGTCAATTTTTTGTATAGCACAATTCTTTTGTTTATTCTACTACTTCTCCCCCCTCTTTTTTTGTTTTTATTTTTTTAAATATTAACTAGCAGTATTAATTATAAAATATATGAGAATTAGATTTTATTTGAATTATGAAATATTTATACTGTTTTTATTTTTTTAAATATTAACTAGCAGTATTAATTATAAAATATATGTTAATTACATTTTATTTGAATTATGAAATATTTATACTTAAATTCTAGTTTAAAAAACCACATTTAATCATTGCATGCTTCATACTAGCTTGTAATTGGTTTTTCAATATACGCAAAAACGGTAAGAATAAATTTTCAACATTTATTACACAATAAATATAATAAAATAATTTATATTTTAATGATCAAATGATGTCATAAAAGAAATTAATACTTTTTTGTTCATAAAATTTATTTTTCATAGTGTTTTCACGGAGACATTATATTATTTTATAGAAAATACTAAAAGGTGTGGAATATACATAATTCCACTACTGGTTTATAATATGATTTTTGTTTTCTAATTTTTTTTTAACAAATATACAAAACTAAAATCTATTCACATTGGATTTTAGGTGATTGAAGATGAATTAAATTAAATATTTCATTAAATATAAAATCAATCAATGGGATGAGCAATTACGACTAAAAAAAAAGAAAAGTCTTAACTCTGAAAAAAGAATTGAGAGGTTTGAAATAGATATAATTAATGGGATTTTGTAAATATAATTAATTAATTTTGTAAGAAATACAGCTTCTCGTTTGCGAAAAAAGAGGAAGTTGTCTTGTCTCAAATTCAACCCAGTGTAAATATAGAAAAAGTGAGGATGAGAGGCCAGAGACCTCGGGAGATTTATCGAGCAAAATACAAACAAAGTGCTTAATTTCCACTATAGATATAAACCAGCCATGGCCTTTTATCCAATACACTGACTCATTAAATTATATACTATGATCCGGGCTCTTTTTATTGGCCCTTTGAGATTTTTTTCTATCTTTAATTTTTTTTTTTAGGTTTTTTAAATTATATTGTAGTTTTTATTGAATTTTATTTTTAGTATTGAATTGATTATAAATTATTTTTGTATTTTTATCATATAATAAAATAACAAATTAATTTAACTAAGTGGAATCCATTCAGAAATTTGATGAATTGATTAGAGTGAATATGACCAATTATTTTTTTCTTTGATTTTTTTATCTATTTAGTTGATAAAGTGTGTCAAGATAATTTTTACACAATTTAATTTAAAATTCAGGTTAAGTAAATAGTTGGTTAAGTATTTTTAAAATTTAAACTATTATATTAGGTTTAATAATAATATCACAAAAAAATTTATAATCTTTTTTTTTTACAGTCTAAATTCTTTTGATACAAGATATAGCGATAGTGCAGGGAAAAGTTAACCAAGTACATCGCCAAATTAATTACCTGGATAAGCCTCATTACATACATTCTGAACAAAATGTATATATTTTTAATATTTGCAATAAAAAAACAAAATAAAAGGCATTAAAAAAAACACATAAATGTGCTCTTCAAATGAAATAAGTGCAAAACGGAACTCAGAGTTCAACCAATGGAGAGCTCCTATGAGAACTAGGATAAGAAAACTTTCATAAAGTTTTGATAAATTTAGTTGTAGATTAGAAAATAGTCACACATTACTATCATAAATTAAAATAAGTTAAATAAATTTATAATTTAAACTAAGAAAATAATTGAGTCAATATTTTTTAAATACAAACCGTTGTTCCAAGTTTACTAACAATGCTAGTTTTTTTAATATTTAAAATAATATTTTTAATATTTTAAAATATTTAGATTCAATCACAGCAAAAATACAACAAAAAAACTAGTAATTCACTAAACTTTAAAATCTATTTAAAATTATGGTAGTAATGACGGTTTAAAATATTTTTTGTTTATAAAATTATTAATTTTTTTTATTTTTTAAAAATTATTTGTAACACTAATATATTAAAATAATTTAAAATTTTTAAAAAATCATTTTAAATAAAAAATTTAAATTTTTTGAAAAACTCCCTCGGTCCAAGACCAAGAAGCTCTCTTTCCATCAGTGAAATAAACATTAAAGGGAAAGAGTACTAAAGAAGATGACATTGACAACGTAATGTTGTAGAGTAAAAATCGCAAGGAAGAAACAAATGAAATGTATCAATTATAGAATCCTTCATTTTTTCCTCTTTGAAGGATTTTCAATAACTCCATATATCATCATTTACAACTCAATCGAGGAATTTATATAATGCATTGATTAATTTGTATATATCATATTCGAAAATTGAAGCTTTTCTCTTCTTTTTTTCCCTCATTTGTTTCCATTTCTAGAAATGATCATAAGACATGTAGAACGCTCTTTACCTTCCTAGTACAGTAGTATAAAAAACCATTTTTTTTAAAAATATTTCAATAATATACAACTACAAAAAATGAATATACAACTCATTTACTATGATAGGCCTTTAATCCATTAATCACCCATGGATTATTTGTTGTGATGTTAGTAATATATTATTGCATATAATATGTATGTCAAAGTATTATTATTATAAGAATTTTTCTTCA